CCAGCCTGGTCTACAAGAGCTAGTTCCAGGACAGGCTCCAAAGCCACAGAGAAACCCTGTCTCGGAAAACCAAATAAACAAAACAAAACAAACAAAAAAAAGAGCAGCTAGTACCTATAACCACTGAGCCATTTCTCTATAGCCTGAGCTAGCTTTTTAGGAATAATTCTAGGTTAAGTTTTAAGGAGTAAGTCAATTTAGAGGGGAGTGTTAAAGGTAAATTATCATCCCGGGAAAAGAGAGTAACTTGATTATAGGTACAAAGGACTAAGCAAATGGTACTATTTCTGGGGGGGGCAGAATATTGCTTTTATAAGTTTATACTTGGGAGTATAATGGAAAAGGCTGGATAAGTTATCTAAGAACTACAACATACTACATTAAGGGAACTGAACTTTATGCTTTAGATTATGGGAAGCATGAAAGGATTTAAAAAAAACAAAACACTGTGCTACATTAAGATAAAGGATATAACATCCTGATACATTATGTAGGTCTGTAGGAAAGGAGTCTGTCTGAATACTGTTTTGGAATTAGTTGGGGAAATCTGAATTTGAGCATCAGATGAACATTTAATGAAAGGCTAATCTTCTGAAGAAGAAACAGTATGAACTCTTTTTTTTTTTTTTTAAGTTTACCTAGGGCAAAAATCTGTATGGATATGCCCCAAAGGAACAGAGCAATCATCTCTAAACTGTAAATAAATGTTTGATTTTCTATTCTAATTTTCAAGTTTTTATATCACATGTATACTATTTATTCGTATGTTTGTTTGGAGACAGGGTTTCTCTGTGGCTTTGGAGGCTGTCCTGGAATTAGCTGTTGTAGATCAGGTTGGTCTCAAACTCACAGAGATAGATCTACCTGCCTCTGCCTCCTGATTGCTGGGACTAAAGGCGTGCGCCACCACAGCCCAGCTATACTATTTTTATATGAAAATATTTTTCAAAATAAGATTGTATCACTAGATTATCTAAAATGGAAAAAAATATGCCAGATCGTGAATCAGGGGCTAACTTCAGATATTATGATTAGTAAACATTAACTGCTGGCCTGCCAGTGGAGGCTTAACAGTCATTTGTTTAAAAAGACGAATAAAGCTGGGCGGTGGTGGCGCATGCCTTTAGTCCCAGCACTCAGGAGGCAGAGACAGGTAGATCTATGTGAGTTCGAGACCAACCTGATCTACAACAGCTAGTTCCAGGGCAGCCTCCAAAGCTACAGAGAAACCCTGTCTCAAAAACAAAAAAATAAAATAAGATAAAAAGTAAATGAATAATAAAAAAATAAAAAGACGAATAAGGGGCTGAAGAAACGGCTCAGTGGTTAAGAGCACTAACTTCTTTCAGAGGTCCTGAGTTCAATTCCCAGCAACCACATGGTGGCTCACAACCACCTTAAATGAGATCTGGTGCCCTCTGCTGGCATGCAGACAGAAGACTGTATACATACTAAAATCTGAAAGAAAGAAAGGAAGGAAGGAAGGAAGGAAGGAAGGAAGGAAGGAAGGAAGGAAGGAAGGAAGGAAGGCGAATAAACAAGGTCTGCAGTGCTCAGACTGGAGACCTCTGCTGTGAATGATTTAAATGCGGAACCAGCCAGGAAAATTTCCCTTTCTTTACATTAACTATGCTTGGGTTACACTTGGGATTTTGTTTGTTTTTTGTTTTCCAACAAAGGTCAAATCCATTTTATTCTTAGTTATTTGCTATTGTTGGGGTGAGGCGTTAGAGAATTACACCGAAGGAGGGCTGGGATGGGTTAGTGAGGACAGCCAGCAAGGGTAGTGGCTGAGGACTCTGGGACTCTTGGCTCCAGTCAGTCGTGAGCAGTGAAACCTCAGGCTGCAGTCGGGCCAGGCCCCAAGTTCTCTTCAGACCTACAGCTTGTGTCACGAGTGGGGGATATGTGGGGAAGTAGTATGCTTGGTCCCCTCAGACCACCAATGGGGGAGGCGTCCCTTGATCCCCTCAGGACGACAGCGGTGGGGCCACTTAAGTTACCTCAGGCTTACAGTGGGCCCTGGGCCCCCTCAGGAAGACAGGAGAGCCCCTTGGCACCCTCAGGCCAATTGTGGCCCCTGTACCCTTGGACCTACAGCAGTCAACAGTGGCATCCACCTGAAAGGGGGAGCTGGAGCTCGGTTCCCTCGGGCCTACAGCTGGTGACAATGGGGACTGGGAGTGTTTCAGTCCCCTCGGGCCAACAGCAGGCCTGGGTCCCCTCAGGCCGACCGTGGGTTCCATGGGCCTATGGTGGTCAAGGGGGGGGGGGGGAGTCCCTGAGGGGGCGGAGGGTTCCTCAGGCTGACTGTGGGTTCCATGGGCCTATGGTGGTCAAGGGGGGGATGTCCCTGAGGTGATGGAGGGTCCCCTCAGGCCGACCGTGGGTTCCATGGGCCTATGGCGGTCAACGGGGGGGGGGGGGGTCCCCTCAGGCCTACAGCAGGTGACAATGAGGACTGGGAGTGGCCGGGTCCCCTCAGGCCCACAACAGGGGAGAACAGGTCCCTGGGTTCCCTCGGGCCAACACGGGGCCCCTGGGGCCACTTGGGCCTACAGTGGGAGACAGTGGCCGCTGTGTCCCCTCAGGCCGAACTGCTCTGGGGCGCAGGTTACCAGAGCCGTTGGGGCCGATGATGCAGGTGAACCTCTTGAAGGGACCGATGACCTGGCGGCCTCGCCACGACTTGAAATTCTCCACGAGCAGCAGCTCAAGGCGCCCCATGGCTGCCCTCCGTGCCTCAGTCGCTTCCTCGAGCTCAGTGGGAAAAGCGCGGGAAGAGCTTTGCCAAGTCTCGCGAGACTAGCGCGAGCGAGCAAGGAGCGGTTCCTTAGCAACACAGGTTGGCGTTTCCCGGGGAATGTGATCCCTGCCGCCACAGCTGGTTGCTGAAAGCAGGCTGCTGCGGGTGGCTGCAGGGACAGACCGGCTCCTAAACTTTTGGGAGCGTTGCTTCTCGGAGCTACAGCTTGCTTATCTCTGTCGCCTTTTCTTACCGTGTTTGTTCTGAAAGCTGCTGAAGACTCACCGGTTCCAGAGCCATGGATGTAGCGACGCTTAAGGACCTGCAACAGGACGCCACCCTAGCCAAGAGGCAGTATATGGAGCTGTGCAGGCAGGGACAGATCTTTGACGCCAGGAACAGGATCATTGGGGTGAGGCACCAGGGACGGAGCCAATGCTTGAAGGAGCGTTTATAACTAAGCACCAAGTTTAGCTGAGTGGACTTGAAAAGCCTTACCTCGCCAGCAGTGTCCCAGAGGGAGCCAGTTGGGGAATAGACACATTTCCTTTCCTCCTACTTAGCTCAGTTTTCCATTCTTCCAGGTGACAAATGTCCTGGCTAGCCCGAGTCGGGTCCCGGAGGTGGGAGACCTTGCAGAGTTCACCATGTAGTGAAAAAGGCAATGCCTTAAAACGGGCACAGAAAATGCAGTGGCATCAGCACCAGCACAGACTGGAGCCTGGAGGGGAAATCATAGAGGGCTTCCCAGAAGAGTGGTACCTAAACACTGTTGGGACGGTGTGTGTGTTGAGTGAAGAAAGCTATGGTGGCAGCTGACAGCATAGGCAGGACACCCAGCTATAAGCAAAGCCATCCAAGCGCTGGAAGGCAATTTGTTGATGCCGTGACCAGATGAAGGGATTGTGCCCTGCTCTAACCTCTCTCCCCTTGTCCATTCCTAGGGAGACCCACAAGCCTGGGATGTTCAAGTTCGTGAACAGAAGATAAAAGAAGCAACTGAAAAAGCTAGGCAGGAAACTTTTGGTGAGCACTTCTAAAATGTTCACCTTAAGGCTTCGTGTCTTCATTTCTGTGAAAACCAGAGTAAATGTTTTGTGTTGTTCTCAGGGCCCTGGATTCAGTCCCCTGCGTGTGCACGAATGAGAACACACACACACACACACACACACACACACACA